GGCAGGATGAATGTGCTTTGGATCCCATCAATTAAACAGTTTCTTATGGTAGGACCCAGGAAGTGTGGCTTCTTTGTCACAGTGCTTGTTGTTTAAAACTCCATATTCCACCAAGATTTGTTTGCCCTGATCCTGCTGGCACTTCATAAATCTTTGGAGACCAAGATGTTCCCTCAGTCATGAGATCTGAAGGTTGGGAAAGCCTGTCAAAGTAATTTCTTACTCTGATTGCTGGTGTGTGGCTTCAATTTTGCAAAAATCAGAAACACTTCAGACCCAGAGGAAGTCAAGGCAGCAACTCAACACAATACATCAACACAGCACAGTCAACACAACATATTTGACCAGGTCAGTTAAATTTTAGCAGTTGCATTCACACAACATGTTTAGTTTAGTTAATCGTAGCCTCAGTGGCTTAGCAGGCTGTATAAACATAGTCCCAGCCCATGTATGTTATTTTGTGATTCAATATATTCTACAAAACCCCAAAGGGTTAATTCAGTAGCCTAGTTAAGTAGGCTCAAACCAAGCCTAAGGCTATAGATGTACTCAACCTACATGAACCTTCAGTTGGGTTTAATGCTCTGTTGAGACATCTTTCTATAGCTACCTTAGAAGGAGAGCTCTTTAGCCTTCAGGGCTTACTTGTACAAGATCTCATTCTTCTCTGGTTCACATTATGCGAATTGCTTCTTTATTAGGATTCTATTATCTGTCCAATCAGAAGCTAGCGCTGTGCCAAGCATTGTTTCAGATACATGCCATGGAAGGCAGCTGCTCTGCAGGCATTCCCAGGCTATGGGATTCAGCCACAAAGAAGGTATATGGCGATAGATAGATGATTGGGGGGGGGAGGGTGGCAAAAATCTGGCCACCTTCTGCATTGATTCAGAACATGGATCTCACTGTGATATGAGCATTTTCTTGATCATCTTCAACATCCAAAGCCTTCTGCTGGGCAGGTTTTCCTAGGCGGTGGTGGGATGCACCAGAGGGGGAAGCAGCTGTGTATAGACATGCACACAAACAGAACCTGGGAAACCTATGAAGTAGCTATTTTGAAACTTACAGAGAATGAGGCCAAACATTTTAAGAAAATGTCCTAGTGAACTTTGATAGACGATTCTACTATTGTACAGATCTTGGTATCAGAATTTTGTTTTTATATTTAGATTAAAATTAAGTAGTTGCAATTTATGGCCATTATTTTGTCGGTTTTGTGGCCATGGAAAACAGTTCCCATCCATCTTTCCTATTGTTGTTTTTTTGTTTTTGTTTTTTTGTCCAGAATAGTGATATTGTCGGAGTTCCGATGGATGCCCTAATTAATTCATGAGCCTTGAGCCAAGTTTCAAAAGAAATCCAGTTATTTATTAGGAGCAACATGTCGGCACATATCCAAGTGGAGTCAGCTCTGGCCCACATAATTTACGTCCCAACTATGACCCTGTTTCCCCCCTTCTCTCAGGGTGTGTCATAAATCACATTCTCCAGCGGAGCACTTTCATGGGCTGTAGAGAACACGCCTCTCCAGCTGGCTCTGGTAACTTAGGCTGTGGCCTTGAGAAAGGTATACTTCTGGTTGCTGCCGTGTTGCTCCGTCAGTTTTTCCCTCTCCTGCCTATGGCAACTCGAGAACAGGCCAGGAATGTTTTATGAGTTGACAGATATCATGTTCCCCATTGTCTTCTTTCTCCCATATTCCTTTAAAAAGCCGGTCCTCACAGTAGATATAACTCAATATAGAGCCATTGATTCTGATTCTCTCATTCTGGTTACCCAGTCAGTTCCATGCCCACCTTTACTGAAATGCTTTAACTAATTGTCAATAAGAATGTCAGGTGGAACCTTCTCAAAACATTTCCTGAAATTGAGGTGGATTATATCTCCACCCCACAGGTTTTGGGTTAACCAAACTAAACGGTTATTTTGTGTTTTTTTAAATAATAATTTTATGTTCCATGGTTACCATGTTACCATTCATTTTCTTCATTTTTGACACACTAGAGACTTTTGTGTCGCTCTCTAAAAAGGCTTCAGTGTTGCAGCCTTTGAGTTAATGAACTAGTCCTCATATGGTACACATGATGATTTGTTTTTGCACACTGTGTTGGGGAAAGGCATAGAGACATTAAAGATTTTGAACAGATATCATCTTCTCTATTTTTTTTTTCCTTACAGCGCTGGGTCACTTAAAAGGAAAAATAATGAATTCATATATTCGTTTTAAGATAGGCAATGTTACCGCAAAGGCCTTCACACCCAGCTCTTGACCCAATCTTCTATGTGTTACAACTTGTCCTTATGAACCATGTTACACTGAAAATTCCTTTCCCTTCCTCCCTGACCTTGTCACATAGCCAAATCTGATAGCTAGTTGACAATATCTCTGGCTGCCAGGAAAAACACAAGGCTTATTTTAAAACAAAGAAGCAAACAAGGTGATGCAACTGCCAGTCAAGGCCAAGACCAGCAGCATACTTATTTTTAAAAAAAATTAAAAAATAAGGCAGCAGAATTGAGTGCTTGGGAGAACTATCATTAACACAGCAAGAGTCCTTTGCCTTGGTACACACCCTTCATGAAAAAGAGAAGTTTCTGGAAGCAGAATCCCTTTCCTACTCTCAGTAGAAAATGTGTGTGTGTGAGTGAGAGAGAGAGAGTGTGTGAGTGTGTATGTGTATATGTGTGTGTGAGTATATATACGTAGACAGACACACACATTATATATACCATGTTTCCCCAAAAATAAGACCCTGTCTTATATTTTTTTGAACCCCGAAATAAGTGCTTGGTCTCATTTTCAGGGAGGTCCTATTATTTTGGGGTGCGTGGAACAAGATGGGACTCCTCTTGCCGTCTTACCTGATTTCCAGCTCTGTCTCCCTAACTAACCCTAACCAGAAGAAATGGCAGGGACTGGCTGCACATGCGTCTAAATATTTTTGGGGAGGGCTTATTTTCGGGGGGGCTTATTTTAGCGCATGCGCTCAAAAGCCCAATTGGGCTTATTATCAGGGGACGTCTTATTTTCAGGGAAACAAGATATACACACACATACACACACACTTTATATACAAGTACATGCAAGGGGTGAAATGCTCCTGGTTCGGACTGGCTCGGGCAAATAGGTAGCGATGGCGGCGGGCAGTTCGGAGAACCGATAGCAAAAATTCCTGCCCCCGCCCAGCTGAGCCGCGCGATCATCAGAGGCTTTTTTTTTCTTTTAAACGATCCAAGCTCTGACGATCCCAGCTAAGTTGCCTGCTAATCAGGCAACTCAGCTTGGATCGTCAGAGCCATTTAAAAGAAAAAAAGTGTTTTTCTTTTTTTTTTTTGCAAAAAGTTTTTTATTTTTTAAACAAAAACAACATAAAAACATCAACCTTCCAAACACTTACAGACAGTATTTCAATCGGTGAAAATCATTTCGTGCTCTCAAAATTTTCAAACTCTCATTATATGACAGATATTCTTACCTCTAACAAAAAAAAAACAAGTGCTTAAACATTTTATCCAAATTTCATTTCATATATAATATTTCATCTCCATGCTTTATTATCTATCCATTGATAAAATAGCTCCCATATCAAATAATATTGTTTATCTTCCTGTTCTCTTATTTCAAATGTGTCACTACTCATTTCAGCACAATCCAAAATTTTCTTAATAATTTCTTCATCAGTAATCATCTTCTCTCCTTTCCAGTATTTTTGCAAATACAATTCTAGCCGCTGTTAATATATTCACAATTAAATACTGTAATTCTTTGTTAAATGTCTCTGGTAAGATCCCTAATAAAAATATCTCTCGTTTAAGGTCAATATGTCTCTTTGTCATTTTTTCCAACCATGTGTGTATCTTAGTCCAAAATCTCCTTGCTTCTACTCATGTCCACCACATATGGTAATAAGATCCTGGGGTCTGATGGCACTTCCAGCACTTCTCTGATTTGTTCTTGAACATTCTATCTATCCTCGTCGGGGGTAAATGCCACCTGTAAAACATCTTATACAAATTCTCCTCATATGATGTAGACATTGTCATTTTATAATTATGTGACCACAATTTTTGCCATTTCTCTAAATCAATACTATAACCAAAATTTTTCCCCCATGCTATCATTGACTCTTTAACTTGTTCTTCTTCCAATTTTGCCTCTAGCAAAAATCCCTGCCCCCGCCCCCCCATGCCCAGTTGAGCCGCGCGATCATCAGAGGTTTTTTTTCTTTTAAATGCCTCTGACAAGCCAAGTTCTGACGATCCAAGCTCTGACGAACCCAGCTGAGTTGCCTGCTAATCAGGCAACTCAGCTTGGATCGTTAGAGCCATTTAAAAGAAAAAAAGTTTTTTTCTTTTAAATGGCTCTGATGATCCAAGCTCTGACGATCCCAGCTGAGTTGCCTGATTGGCAGAGGGTTTTTTAAAAACCCTCTGACGATCAGGCAACTCAGCTGGGATCATCAGAGCCTTTTGAAAGCATTTTTTACATGGTTTTACATGTAAAAAATGGTTTTAAAAGTAAAAAAAAATTGGCCACGCCCACCCAGTCACATTACCCACCACCACCAAGCCACGCCCACAGAACCGGTAGTAACAAATTTTAGATTTCACCACTGATACACCCGCAGCAACAACCAAAATCAATATTATTATTAAAAATGTATCCTTGGAAACTATCAACCTCAACTGCAGCTCAAAAGATCATGAATAGCTTGGAAACATAGCATGGAATTCAGAAGATGAAGTGGTTCTGTGATAGTCTGGATGTTTGCCAAATAGCTGAATATCTACAAAGCAAACTCCCAGCCTTAACATTTGGCAACTTCTCTGCTCAACTTTCTGATTAAACAATTGGAGTCCAACCAGTGTTTGCAAGTAAATCTCATCTTATTTTTCTCTTGGTCAAGACTTTATGCTTTTCTTTTTTCCAGATTGGTCTTCAGTTCTCTCAGTGCAACATTTGCTTCCCAATGCAGTGAACTGAACAAAATATCCCTTCTGCCAGAGGAAAAAAAAAACATTCTTGGCAGAGTTATTGCTCAAGAGGAATATACATATGATTTTGGTGAGTGGGTGGATAAGGAAATGAACTGAAATAACTTATTTGTCTGGATCTTAAAGCCTGATCAGAATTTCTACATTATATTCTTCCACGCAGTTATCTTCTTTTGAAGCCACCCAAAAGGATAAGATATGTGAGCAATTGTAGCTGCATTTTTCTTATCCATATTCAAGATATATATTGGGGGGTGGGGGGGGGAGACTGGAAAGCAAGACTCCTATCTGCCTTCTATCATGTTTCAATATATGTTTCAATTATATAATCTAATTGAAAATTTTGAATTGAGTAAGTCACCTATTTATTCAATACTTAATTAATAATGTATTAATTGTTATTTTCTCAAATTATAATATAAGCACATAAATACTATGAAAGAAAAAGCAGAAGACAGAAAGGCTGGCAAAATGAATCATCACTAAATTAATCCAATCACCTTAACTTCAGACCTGCACTGTAGAATTAAATACCCAGTGGATGGGCATTGTTGCAATGTTAGCTGCTTGGTACTAACAAACAGGTGTTAGTAGGCTAGAACAGTTTGGCTCCAGGCAGCATATAGGTGGGACTGGAGTCAGCTTCCTTCCTCATTGGGAAACAGGTGAGGGGTCTCCGAGAGCTTAATTCCACCTCCACTGCTCAGCTTTTGCCAAATATAAGATCTGACACTAAAAAAAATAAACACATCTAAACTTCAATAAACAGAATCTATCGTTCCCTCTTAAATATTTTCCTGTAAACAGTTACGGTAACTTCCTGCAATAAGTAAGAACCACCTTAAATAAACATTTGCTTTTAATTTGTACCTCCATTGGTGGAGATCTGGTTTCATAATTACTCAGTTAGAATTATTCAACTTTGAATTTAGGCATCAGAAGGATCTCTTCTGTATTTTGGCGACCATAGACTAAATGGCTCTCCTAGACTGACTATAAGGTAAATCTTTGTGAATATTATTCCATGATAAGTCGATGAAAGAGTATACCCAAAGATTGCAATCTTAATATAAATATATTAAGGGGAGAAATTTATTTTATTTATTTATTTATTTTTAAATTTGTATACCGCCCTTCTCCCTGAGGACTCAGGGCGGTGAACAGCCAAGTAAAAGCATAAACTACAAACATTAAAATACAATTAAAAAGATATATATAAATTTGGCCCCATGATTAAAAACAATAGCAAACAATTAAAAAGATTTTAAAAAGATTAAAAATTAAAAGATTTTAATCTTTAAAAGATTAAAGATTAAAAATGATTTAAAAATCATTTTGTTCAATGTAATTTGTGCAGATATGTGAAGGAGGACTGGGCTGGACATCTCTTTTCAACTCTAATACACAGATTGTTCTCAAGTTTCTTTAACTGCTGCATTATTTGTGATTACATCCCTAAACTAAAATTATTAAATGGAGCGTGCTTGCACAACCATAAAATAGTTACTGAAACTGTCAAGGTGAAATCGTACAACATGAGTAAGCACATGATCTCAGCATCTTAAATCATCATTTCCTTGCATTGCTCTTATTTATGACCTTGCTTTTGTGGTGTTATTCCTAATTTTAGGTTGGATAGACCGAGCATTTGTCTTTTTGATTTAGAGAGCCTAGCCACTTTGGAGAACTTGCAAACATTTAATAATGACAGCAATGTGCAAGGATGTGTGTATGTGCGCGTGTGTGTTTCTCCCCATCTGTCTTTGATGTAGATAAATCAGCTTAGATGCCTGATTTGATCCAGAGAGATGCTGCTCTGTTCCCGTGGAAATGAATTGAAAAGGTGTGCATTCAACAGTCTTTTTCCTCTCCCAAATGGAAGCGCTTCGAAAGTAGTAGCGATCTTATTTGATCTATTGTTTGAACACAAGAAACTTGTTTCTTTTCCATTCCAATTACTAAAGCAGATGCAGAAAGCGAAGAAGAAGAGAATGTGCATACCTGAAGGAAAACGTTGGCATTCAGATATCTTGCTTTGCAGGCAAATACTACAGGAGAGTCAAGAGGGGAGTTGTCAGCCCTCAAGTATGTATTCTTGTAGGCAGGGGCGGGTTTAAAAATTTTTAGCAAGGGGTTCTCTGCCTGGTTGCTGGGTGGGCATGGCCATGGCGGGCTTGGCCTAGTCTGCCTCCTGCACTACTGTGTGTGTGTGGGGGGGTGTTTTTGCCCTCCCCAGGCTCCGGAGGCCTTCCCCAACTTCCGGTAGGCCCATTTTTCACCCTCCCCGAGCCTCCAGGTGCACCCTGCACTTACCTGCATCCATAACGGGCTGCGTGGGGACTCCTGGGAGAGGAGGGGAGGGGTGGGGCCAGCCAGGAGTGGGATTTGGGGGTTCTCCGAACTGCACAGAATCTTAGCTAGAGGTTCTCCCGAAGCCCTGAGCCCAGCAGCCCACCCCTGCTTGTAGGTTCTGCTCTTTTTATGGATAATTCTTGAGGCATTCTTCAGTCATACATGGCAGCATTCTTCACTGCGCAATAGCAAGGAGAACTACATTTATTTAAATGCAAATCAGCTCCATTGAAAACAGAGGCAGAACTTAAATCACTGGGATTCCATTCTTATACAGGAAGTCCTCGACTTACAACTGTAGTGACCATTTGAAGTTCCAGCGACTCTGGAAAAAGTGACTTATGACCATTTTTCACACTTAACGACCATTTTATGGTCATGCAATCAAAATTCAGGCACTTGGCAACTGACTCATATGTCCTGGGGTCATAGAATCCCCTTTTGCCACCTTCGGAAAGCAAAGTCAGTGGGGAAGCCAGATTCACTTAACAACAGTGCTACTAACTTAATACCTGCAGTGATTCACTCAATAACTGTGACAAGAAAAGTTGTAAAAAGCAATATAGTGTTGCCAGGTGTCCACTATTTGAGCGGACAGTCCGCTTTTTTCACATTATGTTCACTATTTTTTTTCACAAAATAGTGGACTTTTTTTTATTCAAAAGCTTTATGATGAAATTAAAATGTAATTTAATATTTTACATATTATAATATATTTGATGTTTTGAATTTTAAGTAAAGTTTTGAAGTGATTATTTTAATACGTGTTAAAATGTTTGTAAGAAAATATATAATTTAATTGTAATTTTTTTTATTTTTTTACTGCTTAACACCCCCCCCCCCCCCCCCGCTTGTCCACTATTTTTTTGGAAGCAGACCTGGCAACCCTAAAAGCAAAACATACTTAACAACAACATACTCACTTAGCAACAGAAATGTTAGGCTCAATTGTGGTCGTAAGTCGAGGACTACCTGTATAAAAAGCCATTCTTCCTGGGAAGCATTGTCAGATACTTTTCTCTCAATCTCCACTCTTTTAGGTGACTTTGAAAGGTAAAGCAAACACTCAGATCACATTCCTGTCTGATGCTTCTGTGTGGATGGTCAAGTCCTATGGCAGGCCTCTGGCTTCCTATCCACTGATACAGAATGTACAGTATGTGCATCAGAGGTGGGTTTCAGCAGGTACTGACCAGTTCTGGAGACCCGGTAGCAGAAATTTTGAGTAGTTCGGAGAATTGGTAGTAAAAATTCTGACTGGTCCCACCCCTATCTATTCTCTGCCTCCTGAGTCCCAGCTGGTCGGGAGGAAATGGGAAATTTACAGTAACTTTTCCCTGGATTGGAGAGGGAATGGAGATTTTACAGTATCCTTCCTCTGCCACACCCACCGAACTGGTAGTAAAAAAATTTGAAACCCACCATTGATATGCATCAAACCTTCTGCCTGAGATTTACCTCTTAGAGAAGGTGGGCAATGATGCTGTGCTTCCAAAAAGTGTTGGACACCACAATACATAGCAGTAACACAAGATATGGATACCATATGCCATTCATTGCTTCTTTTTTTTTAAAAAAAAAAGTGGGGGGAAGTTGCATTGAAAGCTCAGGGTTGGCCTACATAACTGTTCCAATGCTGTACAGGGACATGGATTATTTGTTGATTTAGATATATGGGCTGCCAAATCTAAGGACTCTAGGTGGCAAACATATTCGAATAGCGCAGAAACCACTTACTTTACATACATATAATATATTAGGGATAGAAATACAGTTAAATTCCAGCTATCCGTTGTCCAGCGGTCAGGATTAGAAATCACCTTTGGCCCATTTAAAAAAAACTGTGTTTTAAGATCTTTCTTTAAGATCAAGACCATATTAACACACACATTACTGTATGTGTGCACTGCCCTTAAAAGACACTCAAACACTACAGCTGGATCCCAGTGGTCTTCTGGATGCAATTCAAGATGCTGGTTGACACCTACAAAGCGCTATATACATGAGGACAGGATATTTGTGGATCTCTTCATCTTGCTCAGTCTTTTTTGGTAAGCCCACCAAAACTGACAGAGTTGGCATGCTCCAGGACCTTTTACTAGGAAAAGTCATCATGCGGGATCTAGAAATCATTCTTCTCTATTGTAGCATCTGCCCTATGGAGCACCATCCTCCTCAGAGATTGGGATAGCCACCACTTTTCTGGTCTATCATAAGGCACTGAAGTTCTGGCAATTGGAGCAGGAGATTGAGCCAGTCCTGTCAATGGGCTGGTTGCTCTCGCCGTATGCACTGAAAATGAAATATTTTAAACCCTGGTTATGTTATGTTTATGTATTATTATTATTCGTTGGGGTCTGCCTAAAGTCACCACCATGAGATAATATAATTACAAGCTATATAGATTGTTCAATTAAATAAATTGGGGAATCATATTCAGCTGCCGAGAAGTCATGGCTCCAGGTTCTCATACGTATCATTTTATTAAAATTACAAAATTGTAACATTTCAAATATAACATAACATTTTGACCACTATCAATTAAATTTCATCAAATAGACAATAAATGAAATCATAACTCAGATAAGGTTTTAAAGTTAAACATGCAAATTAGACACGTGAGTCAGCAATATATCGCTGTTTATCGTATAAATGTTCAAAGTTTTCCTGCGTCTCATGGTTTCTGGAATGGAAACAAGCTGATTATTGTTCTGAAGTAGAAGGAAGAAAATGCTAGGCCGACTCCCCTGGGAACAATATTCTATAAATTAATGGCCACAACTGAAAAATTCCTAGTAAACATTGTTTGGCAATAGCATATAAACATATAGTTTAAGATATAGATAAAAATAGGTTTGCATGAAATGTCACTCAGCGCAAAGATATTGCACCCGAATCAATACATAACACTCAACATAAAGAAGTTGTCCCAGTCCATTTGAACTGTGCCAGGAAGGACTATTCATGTACACCTGTCTATCACCTTCTGACCTTCCTCTGCAGGCTTCAAGTTATTGCCCTTCAAATGTGTGGGACTTAAATTCCTTGTTATGTTCAATAGGAATTCTGGAATTGAAACATCAAGGAAAGTTTCTCTAATTCAGTGTTTCTTTAACTTTTTTTTTTCCTCTCAAGACCCCTTCCCACTTTTAAACATTAAGGAAGACTCCAAAAGAGCTTTGTGTTTGCATGAGTTATATTTATTAATATTTACCATATTAAAAATTAAAAATGATCCATTTGCTGCCACTATCACTTCTCACAACTGATGGGATTTTAATATTGTATTATTTTTCAATTTAGCACGGCGAATAAATTTCATGACCCAAGAAGGTCTTGGGGGAGTCACAGGGGTCCTAGTACGAGACTTTAAGGTCACACAGCTCTTAAGTGATTAAGTAATAGGAGCTCGAAGATCATGTCCCTCATGGAAATGAGGGGTTAGGATGGAATATGGGATGTCTAGATAATTCCCATTCGTCAACAGAAGAAATGGCATCCCTTAACAATAGATTTTCCTTGACTGTGTACTGTACTTGTTTTAAACAGGATCAAAATCTTTGGAGGTTCCAAGTACACAATGTTCTGGTCCGCTAGCAGCCTGTGGTGCTGGCAGGGAAGTCGGACAGTGAGGAGGCTGGGGAGGAACATGGGCCAGTCCTGGAGTCTGGGGAAGGCCTGGACGAGGGCTCTGCATCACAGGCAGAGATGGGGCCAGGACCATCTGGGAGTGATGCACGGACTCCGGAGCCTCCCAAGTCGGATAGCAGAGAGGCAGAGGAACAGGAGGAGCCTGTACCTAGTGCACGCATGCACAGAGTTGCCAGAAGGCAAGAGCAGCTAAAGCAAAAGGGACGACTCGGGAGTAAGGCCAGGAGATGATTGGCCCCTCCCATAAGGCTTAAAAGAGAAACAAAGGCACTTGGGGCCTTTTGCAGGAAAGCAACGTTGCTAACTCTGTTTCCAATCGACATCTCTTGTTTGTTTCTGAACTCCGTGGGGCTTTGCCAAGTAAGGCCTTTGGCAGGGTGTCAAAGAAGATAAAGGTTGGTGATTATCCCGAAGGACTTCTTCCGAAGGACTTGTTTTGCAACTAATTGGGACTCAGTTGGGAATGAACGTAATTCTCAGCTGTTACAATAAAATAGGTTTGTTTGGGACTAATTGTGTCTTGTAATGACTCAGTAAGCCTAGGTCACAACACACAATATTTTAAAATATACTGTAACTTATTCATGTACTATTCCTCCTTATGACTAGATTTAAAAAAAAAATTATGTATTTATTTATTATCCTGCCTTTGTTATTTTTATTAATAACTTAAGGCAGCAAACATACCTAATACTCCCTCCTTCTCCTATTTTCCCCACAACAACAACTTGTGAGATGGTTTGGGCTGAGAGTGAATAACTGGCCCAAAGTCACCCAGCTGGCTTTCACGCCTAAGTGAGACTAGTATTCACATCCTCTTGGTTTCTAGCCTCGTGCCGTAACTACTAGACCAAACTGGCTTTCTTTTGTCTGAGCCAAAATATCAGTAATAAAATATGACAATGACCACGGTTTTGGACCCTGCATTAAATCTTCTTTTTCCTTCCCTTTTCCTTTTCTTTATTAAGTTACCCAGCTGCAAGCTGTAGGAGGGTAGGTGGGTGGCTTGAGTGACACGTTAAGTGGGAAACCTTCCTTCTCTTTTAGAGAGACATGAAGAAGTCAGTAATGCATCACTTGAAAAAGTGACAGACAAATCATTTTGCGCTATTTCTGATGAAAGGAAACGAAAGATGTCAAAACCCCAGATTCTGAACTGCAGTGCCAGGGATGATAGAGTGAGCAGGATACTCTCAAGTCCTTCCATTTCAGGCGGGTGGTTGAAAGGGCTTTTCAGAAGCAGGCCACAGGCTTTCAACTCTTGGCATCCAATCAAATTAGTCCCAACAACAAAGCAGTAAGGAAGTATATTCTTCATTTTTGTTTAGTTCTAAAGGATGCCCCTCCTCCAACCCTGTATGAAAGGTCTCCCAATTATCTCCTTTACCTGCCAGATGAGAAAAAAAAAAGCCTCCAGAGTTGTCAAAGATCCAGAGTCTGAGGACATGCCACTGCAACACAGCCATGACGTTAAAACAGATGGAAAAACTTCTCAGGAACAAAATGCGCACACAAAATGGGCTCTTGGCTTTGAAGTGCATATTCATGGCGTATGCTTTCATATCATTTGAAAAGCCCGAGCTCAAATCTGACCTACTTAGGTAACGTTCTTATGTCTCAGGCTGGGAGAAGTTATATATTTAGCAAACGAAAGGAGATGGTTTTCCTGTCATATTTAGAGATCGGGGTAAACTGTCACTGTTTAATTTTTTCGGTGTATTTATCTCTATAGAAGTGTTCAACGTTTAAATAACAGTGGCCGTTATTAAAAGTGCACGGCGTTCTAGAGCAGTGAGTGAAGTCATGATTTTGCATAAGATCATAGAAAATTGAGGGAATGAAAGTCCAAGATTTTAGGTCTGAGGGGGGGAGGGTGTCATTTATTTTCATGGTTTTAAATATTAATACCTTTAATTGGCATGTGCAGAGCAGTATTAGTCCACTTCACCTTTGCCCCTTTGTAATAATGCATCCCACCTCAGCATTGAATGTTCTCCTGTAACATTAAAGTTAGGTTTATGAAAGGGGCTTCTTTGCATACATAGCGCATACACATATGCTTCATTTATAGGTTAGTCTAGAAGGGCAAAGGACAACTTCTTTAACTTTTGGAAGCAAAAGCTGTTTATCTGTACTGGAACTTTTTGACTGACGTTTATCTTTCAGCAAAGCATCCCCAAACCTCCAAATTCCCCACACACACCATTTTTTTTGATTTTTTTTTATTTATAACAAAAACAAAACAAAACATAAAATCACCATCATTCAAATACAATTACAAACAGTATGTCGATCAGTTAAAATTCTTTTGTGCTCAATCCTTTATCCCAGATTTCCAGTTATTTAATTTCTCTTGTTTAACAGTTTTATATATTATACACACTTAGCCATTGTTGAACAGAAAGACAGAAAAAAAAAAAAAACCATTTCATATATTTTATAATTACTTCAATTCCTAATTCCTATTTTATCTCCATGCTTTATTATCTAACCATTGATAAAACAAGTCCCAAATTAAGTAATATTGTTTATCTTCTTGTTCTCTAATTTCAAGTGTCAATGTACTCATTTCAGCACAATCCATAATTTTCTTAATAACTTCATCTTCAGTAGGTATCTTCTCACCTTTCCAATTTTTAGCAAAAACAATTCTAGCCGCTGTTAACCACACACACCAATTCTTAATGATGTAATGTAGTAATTCTGTCACAATGTTGAATCAACAATGAATAGAGACCCACGTTTTGTGAAAAGGTTGCTGTGTGATTAGCATGGACAGTTGGAAGAGATGATGTCCATTCATCATGTATCTATTTATTATTATACTGCATTGAGTGAGATTTCAAGGTAGAAGACTGCAGAAGAACCAATTTATACAACCCACAAAAATGGTAAAAACAGTAGATCGGGCTTAAAGACAGAATAATAATGCAGTGTAGATCTCAAAATAAATACAAATAAAGCCAAAATCTGGCCATGAAATAATATTTAAAATCTATTGTTGGCAATAGCCTTATTAGGAACAACATAACAATAAGATTTTTTGATAAATACTTGGGCAATACTTTGTTATAAGTTATTGCCAATATTTTTATTTTTTAAAAAAGTTAAAATACAAAGTTCCAAAAGAAATTCACAGTAACAAACAAAAAACAAAAGAAACAAACTTTTTAAAAGTACATTAAAAAAAACACAAACACACATATACATATACTACCCCCCAGTTGAATATTGACAAATATATTACAATATTAGTTTCCCACCCTTTGCAAAAGTTTTCAAACTTCTAATTCTGTTTGAATTCTGTTATCTATCTACTATCTATTCCCAATCATCCTAAAAGTTAACTTTGATTCATCCAGGACCAAATATCCAGAGTTGTTTCTTAATGCTATCTTTTTATCAATTGTTATCTAATTAAATATAGTAGATCCATTCTGTAACTTTCATTGAATATAATTTCTGATAGCACTTTTTTCCTCTCCATTTAAATCAGCGGTTCTCAACCTGTGGGTCGCGACCACTTTGGGGGGCGAACAACCCTTTCACAGGGGTCGCCTAAGAC